TAGATATACTGTTTGCCTTTCCACACCATTCTCTTCATCCCTTCCTGATTTTAATTTCTCTGATCTCTGGTTCATGACAGAACTTGGCTTTTCTCAGTGTAGGTGGAGCCAAATGTATTTTGGGGAGTGGTCATGGGCTCCTTTTAAAGTCAAACAACTTACCCATCCTGACTGAGACGGATTGGCTTGTTCATCTAGACTGTGCACACAAGGAACAGTGCATAAGATGACCCAGTGGTTTGCAGCACCACCCAAGAACATACATGCAACTACAAGGTAAAAGAAGAACTTTTCCCAGTTCTGGGAAACAAATCTGGGCTATCTGAATAAGGTAATTTCTTTATGCAGTACTTTATTTTTGTTACTTCAAACTGGTTGCTAGAGCATTCGGTCACTCTGTTCCGTCCTGATGTGATATGACAGTAAATTGCATTATAGATCATATTCATTAGACATGCTTTTACCAAGATGATGTTAATGAAGTTAGAGAGGATAGTTTTATGGAGAGGTTCTCTTGATTTTCTATCTGAAGAGCAGTAACTAGCACAGCTCTGTTGTATTTGGAATTGCAGTGGTGTGCATCAGCAGATCAGTCTGAGCCTTACATGAAGAACAGAAGGTATCTGAGTTTGGCAAACATAATAAGTACCTGTTCCGTCTTTCTGTACAAAGGCACATATGTAAAATTTCAGCATAAATTACCATTCGTCTCCTTGATTCTTTCAATCTTTCTTTTAATGTAACATTTTTTAAAATGATTTTTTTAGTCTGTTGTTAACATATTGAAGATCTTCTGGAGTTTAACCCAGAAAGCACCACACAATCTCTCCCTCATTCCTGTGCCCAATGGGATGAGGAAGAAAGTCAGAAATAAAGAAGTAGAACTTGTAGGTTGAGATGAAAACTATTCACTAAAACAGAAAAGAGAGAAATAATAGTAATGATAATTGTATATGTATATATTTACAAAACAAGTGATGCACAGTGCAATTGCTCACCACCTGCAAGCTGATGCCCAGCCAGTTCACATGATGCCATATGGTATGGAATATCCCTTTTGACAGTTTGGGTCATCTGTCTCAGTTCTGTCTCCTCCCAGCTCTGTGTGCACCCTAGATCCTATTGCTGTCAGGACAATATAAGAAGTTCAAAACTGAAATATTCTTGGCTCCACACAGCACTAAAACATTGGTGTATTATCAATATTATTTTTCTCCTAAAGCGAAAATGTACTAAATAGTATTAGGAAGGTCAACTCTATCCCAGGTGAAAGCAGGGCAACATCTAATTCATTCTAGTAGTAACTGAATCTCAGTGCTAGCCTTTAGTGGAAAGAGTTTAGCCTTTTTTTTTACATAGTTTAGTATCATTTTTATTTTCTTTTTTCCCTTTTTTTATTATTTTTTTTTAAGTCCAAATCCATGGTAAAGTACCACATTTGTACTGAAAGATAAAGCCAAAAAAGCAAGTTGCAAGTGATGTTTCTTCATCTGAGCATGCAAAAAGTTAATACTTACCTTACTAGTGCTCTTCTGCAAAGTGCTGTTCTCCTAGGGGGTCCATCCAGCCTCCAAGAAAGACTGAAACTGTATAGTTATTCTGGGGGTTTATGCATTGCTTGAAAACAAGAAGACCAGAGTTCGTGGCAACAATAGTCTTTTTGTGGTTCCACTATCAGGTTGTTCTGTGATATGCATGCTCTGTGACATAGAACTGTTGTGTTATTCTGTAATATGTAAATTAGACCATAAAACTCAACTAAATAATGCAATAATCAGTCTTCACAACATTATATGGCACACTAAATGCAAACAAACAATATTCACATTTATTATTATTATTATTATTATTATTATTATTATTATTATTATCATCATCATCATCATCATCATCATCATCAATCTTTTGTGTCACTAACATGAATAAAAGCAGAAAAAATCTCAGAGAACTGGAAGAGCGTGAGTAGACAACTCCCCTACTCATGCAGTGTGAGCACTTTTGTAGGTGCATGACTGCAAATATGTTACATTTTTGCCAGTGCATCCTTGCTGACAAGTTTCACCATCAGGTGGCATGTCTGCTCTTCCTGATGTACACTCCACTGTCATCAAAACAGCTGTAGCTCCTGTCTCACAGGCCATACATTCCAACAGCCATGAGAACGCTTGGAGGTCAGAGGCAGTGAGATGCTAGGGAGTGTACTAATTCTTCCACACAGGGCTTTACGTTCATGAGTAAGGACAAGCACAATTTTACCTCCAGGTTTTTCCTGCATAAGTCTTTTTCAGGGGCAAGGGGAAAATTGAAAATATTAAAAACTTACTGCTCAACATTGCTTAATAGTCAAGAGTAAAAAGAAATCCAGGGTGTTTTTCTTGCATGCTTCTGGCCAACTTTCACTTGCAAGTGAAGGACTGACGAAAGCGGAACATGGTGCTCAGAAATGTGTCCACCCATTGCAACATATAAGCTTTCTTTTACTCAGCTCAGGCACTTCAGCAATTCCCTACACATGTACCTGCACTACTTCCAAATATGTAGGGCACCTAGGAGACAAAAATGTTAATTAATCAAGTGACTAGCATAGCAATTTCACTTTGGAAGCAACTGAAATTTCACTAGGATAGCAATTTCATTTTGGAGTTGCATGTAAGACCTTGATCATTAAAACAGACTGGAGACTGAATTCTGAACAGTGACATAGGAGATATGTTTGTAATAAGAAAAAAAAGTGTTCATTTAAGTCTTATGAGCAGCAGAGCCTGATTTATACTCCTCCTAGGGCAGAGTTTGCCTAATGAAGGTGAAGAGCTTTGGGTGGTGTCAGGAAGTAGTAGGTTTATTATGCTTGTTTTAGTTCGGGGTGCTGCCGGGTAAATAGCAGGATTTCTTCTATCTGTCTCGAGGCACAAGTCATAATCCCTTTTCCTGGCATGTCCATGCAGAGTGCATCAGTATCATGATCACTCTGTGTAACAGGCTTCTTTTGCCTGAGTGTTGCTGCAGCTTTTTTGTGTGTGTTTTCCAGTACCTCAGAACAAATCATGCCCATGACACTTCAGTGCAGCAGTATAGGATGTGGCTACAGCTCGATAAAGTTCCTGTATTTTCTTGGAGCACCTGGGCACTAATATAAGTGTTAACGTTTTTAATGTTGCAAAATCCATAACCATAGAATGTATCATCTGCATTTGACAACTGAGAAAATAGTTACAGCAAGATCAAATATCTTGCTCAAGGTCACCCAGAAACTGGGAATTAAAACCAGATTCCTTCTCATGGGCCCAAGCACAAGACATTCTTCCCTCTCTTGTGTCTGAGTTTTAAGATTTTTCAGGATGTTTCTGAGGCCTTCCACAACTGATGAATGTGTCTGGCTATGTCTGTCATGCAAATGCAGTCAGTGCCATGTGTTAGCCAGAAGCTTGAGCCAGACACAAGGCAGCAGGATGTTTTTGCTCCTGATCCCTACAAGGATCTGATAGCCTCTTTACCCTGACCTTTTTGCTGTTATTTAGGTTCTCCTGGAATGGTGGCTTTTGCTTTGTGCTGGATGGCTTCTAGTGGTATGGATTCCCTAAACTTTTGCTGCACACAATGAAGATAAACGTAAGTACTTTATGAACGTTTTTAGCTCACATTCTCCCTCTTAGAATAAAGCTGTTTCTTGTGCAATGTCTCTTTGTTTTTTTGGTCTCATGCATTTAGTATAAGATACACACTTGTGGTTGTTCTTAATATCCACGAAGAATCCTTCTCACAGACAGATCCTACCTCTTCTGTGTACTGCATGGTTGCTCCAAATATGTAACAAAAATTTAACAGTGCTTTTTTCAGTATGAAGTAAGATGTACCTGCCTATCAGGATGTTTTCACAAGTAGACAAATGCCCCATATTTTTTATTCAAAATCTTAGCAGTTCTGGAACCATCACAGCTTATAAATGCTCAAGTATTACAAAGATCACTCCAAAATTCTACATATTACTCCTTGCAATTTTACTCACACTATGAAAATGGCTGGTTCAGGTCTAAATAAGGTGTTTTTGTAAAAGGACAGAACAAGCATAAAGTTTCTGACAACTTGCAGCTTAGAGATTTCCTGAGACAAATATCTTTTAAAATATTCTTCCAAAGTTTTCTGCCACACAGTTTTATCTGTGGTATCCAGGCAAAATTTTAGTATCCATTGTATGCTGTGAAAAGATTCTCTAAAATCTGAAGATGTACAGTTAGTGTTTAGAGTTCCGCTACCACATCTAGTCCTGGTTCTTTAAGGTGCGGCTTAGAGACCAGAATAACACACAGTTTCATGTTAATGCAATTTTTTGAGATTGCATACATCTTGTTTATGTAGACAGAAGATGTATTGCCTCTGAAATTGCTCAGAAATTATGCAATGGCTTTGAATTTGGAAAACAGAGAGTAATATGAAAAGTCGTAAGCATTACTCTAAATAATCTTCATGAGTTTCTGTTAAGTTTATACATTTACACTCCCTAATCAAAGTTGCCACATCATATGGAATTTTAGAACCAAAGCACAACTTAAAAAAAAAAAAAGGCTTTGTTATATTCCTGGAACTTACGTCTGTCATCACAGAATCACAGAATAGTTTGGGCTGGAAGGACCATAAGATTATCCAGTTCCAACCCACTTGCTATGGGCAGGAATGCCTTCTGCTGGACCACATTGCTCAAAGTGCCATTCAGTACAGCCTGTCATGGTCTTCTGTCCCACTTCAATTTTGTCATGCTTTTATTTTTTTAACAGTTCTCGCCTGAATATTTTTTGTAACTTCTAAACTTTATTCTTCTTACTTTCTATTCCTCTTTCAGTGTCCTAGGGCATCTGTTTGCCAGTTAGTATTTTCAATCAAACTACTGCAATGCATAATTTATTTTCACTTGGTAATTACTTGTATAAAAAATTCCAAGACTATTCGAATTCACTTATTTAACTCTTGGCCTTCTACTAATTTGCAGATCTTTTAAAGATTCTTGCCACAACCGCTACTAAAAAAAAGAACCAAACCACAGTCAAGATATTTGAGTTGCAGAAAAGATGCAGACCAAAGACAGCAGTCCACCAGATGGTGGCTATGGATGGGTTGTGGTAGTGTCAGCATTCATAGTGATGGGCCTCACTGCTGCTGTCCTCAAGACTTTTGGTCTCTTCTTTGCTGAAATCCAGGAGCACTTTGATGAACTTGCAAGCACCATTTCTTGGATCACATCGATAACGATTGCCACCTTTCATTTAGGAGGTAGGTGAAAGTTTCCCTTCAGCATTTCGGTTTTAAATCCTAACTACAAAATAAAGACACGCAGGGACAATGCTTCTTTCTTCTCTTCAAAAAATTGGTATTTGCTTCCTCTCATAAAAATGTGTCCATGCCTCAGACATTAAATGGTAAAGTGAGTACTCTGTGTATACACTGAAATTTGGTTATCTTAGAGAACTCTACGTACCTAGTCTCATGATTCAGTTTTCCTACAGACTTCGTATCAAACTCAGTGATGATAATCCTAAGAACTTCAGAGATTGTTGGATCAAGTTCTAAACCAGTTTGTGCAAGTTCACTGATTTTACAGTGACTATCATTTTACCAAGTACTTTAAGACCTAAGGGCAGTGACCCTGCCTACTAGATGAGCCATATGCTTCCAAAATGGTGACATCAGTTCACCCATTTCTTCTCCTTTTTTTACTCCACAAAGCTTTCTTCTCATTGTGCCTAATCCCAGTTCAGGCTCTCCTTCCTCCCCTTAAAGTGATTCCTTGTTTTTTATCTAACAAAAAACTCGTGAGATTAAAAGGAAAAAAAGGAAAAAAAAGAAGAAATCATAGAGAAGAAAAGGAAGACAAGAGATAAGCAGACAGTAAGGGAAGAAAGAGAGAACTATATTATCAGCCAAATACTGTGAGCGATTGGATCAGGTTAAATACTCCACTTTACCAAAGCAAGAAGGGAAGAAAATAAAATACACTGCATTTGGCTCTTCACTTAGAAATTAGAGCCTTTTGTGCCATTGTGATCTGGATCGTGCTTTACTATAGTAGTGAAGATTTCAAACATGTGCTGGCAAGAGCTGCACAGAATTTGTAAAGTCCTGTCCACATATTCTCATGTAGAAATATAACTGCAATAAATATCCTTACGTAATAAATTTTATTACAATTTTGTTTGTGAAGACACTTCATTGCATAGATACTGTGTAATTATATACATCCTACTCAGTCCACGCCTAGGGCTTACAAAGACCTTGAACAGCTGATCTTTCTTGGAAAAAATAAATTAAGAACAAAACAGTCATTCAAATTTAGAGTTAAAAGGTAAAACAAATCATGCACTGCCAAGTTTTTATTAGTTCCAAGGATGTCACACTAAAAGTTTGATTTGCAGTGTTCTTTCATTCTGACAGAAGTAATTAATTGAAAAATCCTTGAAAAGCCTGTTTTTTCATCCATTTCTATGAAAATCTATTTGGCTTACAAATCAAATTTACCACTGACCTAATTGTGATACTATTATGTCATTCAGACATAAGAACTCAGAGCAGCAAGAAAAAAAGCCAATGTAGGAGGATAAAAGAACTCCAGATCTTATAGGTTTTTTTTAAATTACTGTTTTTATTTTTGTTTTTTATGTACCAGCAAAATTGCAGCCTAAACAGGCCTTAGTCTGGTGTACTTCAAAGAAAATGGTTATAGTTTTCAGCAGAAACTGCTTCTCATTCTTTGAAATCATTTGAAAATAATCCTCTTTCAGTGAATTGAGCTTGATGATCAAGCATTCTAATACTCTTCCATACGCAGTTTACGAATTATTGCATCACTCAGTAATTTTCCTTCTGCCTTTGCTTCATTTATAGGGACCAGAAGACTTACTGATGAAGATCACCTGAGCCTCCAGTTCCTTAAGCATCTTTCCTGGCCTCGCTTAGCCCTTCCTAACATGTTCCACTGTGAAACCCTCAGTGTCATTCGGCTCAGTATGAAGGATGATCAGTGAATTACTAATTTTTCCCATTTGGATATTTTCAACAGCTTCTCTGTGTCTTGCATAGAAGGAGACCTTGTTTCTGTCTGAGGATCTGCATCTGCAACAGGCTGTTTGATTTACCAAGAGCAAGGATTTTCCCCATCAAATAGGCCTCCTTTTCATATTAGTGTGACTCTTCCATCACCTCTCTCTCTGGCACTGTGATTGCAAGTTTTCTGAGTATTGCCCTTTATCCTTTCAGACTCTATTCCCTTGTTATCTTCTTCATTTCCAGTTCTGTGGCTAGCTCCTTTCTTCCTCCTGCTACCCCATGTTGAATTTCTGCCTATTTCCTCTCATTCTCTAAAAAATAAATAAATAAATACAAATTGCCCTGTGTCTTGGCTCTTCTCCAGCTGCAGATTTTACTTCCATCATTAAGCACTTTCACAGATACCTCTTGTTATCTTCAGACTACTTTTCTCTATTTTACCCATTGTATATATATGAGTCTCCAGCTGTGTACACATTTTCTTGTTTCATCTCTTCCACTATTTCTGACAGAACATTACTGAATTATTTTAACATCTCTACATGCTTACAAAATCCTTGTAATTCTGATGCAAATGCTGAAAGAATGCTTATTTGCATTTCTTCTATCAGACAGCATGCGTCCTGCAGCTTCTGTGGCTGTTAATACTGCTCTGCCAGGTTTATTTCACTTGTTTTCCCCATCACTTCTTATCTTGCTTAACACAGGTGAAAGTACAATAGCCTGCCCCTACAAGTTAGTATAAAACCTCCTTCTGTGACTGTCATCTATTCTTTGTCTCCCTCCTTCTTTCATTTTGTGAACAAAACTCTCACTAATTGAATTTCTTTATAGCTCGGAACTCCAGTTTCCAAAATACCCGTGGTTTATGTGAAGCAGAGTAGGCGTATCCTCCAAGTAGACGAACGGAACGAAAGATTATTTGTGTTACTTGGGTTCCATCTAGTGGCCATCCTTGTTTCACAAAAAGCGTATACTCTGCAGATGGGAAACACCGTCAAAGGACGGGTGATAGTTGGAATGAATTGGGAGTTTTGTTTTTAAATTTGTGCTGCCTTTTCTCTGTCAGCCCAGATATCGACCTACCCTCCTGTACAGCAGAATACAACAGAACTAGGCCATCTCTCCCTCATACGTGTGTGACATTGGGTTTGACATGCACAAAAAAGTTATTTCCTCTTCAAATGCTTTATTTGATTGCTCTGGCATGTCATTCTGCTTTCTAACGTGTTTCTCTTGCTCCTGTCTTGCTGTTGATCTAGCCCCTGTTGCCAGCTCATTATGTGTAAAATACACCCACCGTGCTGTTGTGATCACTGGAGGACTCCTTGCATTTTCAGGAATGGCTCTGGGATGTCTTGGGCTCAACATGATCTGGATGTATGCAACAACTGGCTTCCTACAGGGTATGACTTTATGGCTTTACAGGTTTCTTGCACTAGCAGCTCAGAGCCCTTATTCAAGGATGCTAATGGCAGGAGTTTTAAAGTCTGATTTCTATTTTGATTTTATAAACATCTAAAACCAGTGTCCATTTTGAAGGTTGTTTCCCTCTTCTCCCACTCTGGATGTAAGAATTTGTGCTAGAAAATTGTATGACAAAGTAGAAAACCAATTAGATACTAGTAATTTTTATTTGCAAATTATATGTAACCAGAAAATGAAAAGTTTTCTTTTTTATCAGAGGCTGATAGCTCTATGAAGGCCTGAGGAATCTAAAGCATACTGAAGTACATGGACCTAGAGTTCCAAGACACTGTACTTTCCATTATATGATATTACATGTTGAGCATTTTGAGCATTTTTAACAAAATAACATTCCCAGTTCTATGCTGGATACTTGAAAATGTCTGGAATTAGAGTTCTTTGGCCTGCTAAGTGATTATAGAGAGCCATTAAAATTAAAGTAAATTAGAGCAGGTTTGAAACCAAGCAGTCTGGCAAGACAGTGAGCAGTACCTGAAGCTGTTGTGCTACCAGCTTCCTTCATGTTCTCCCTCACTCTCTGATACTGAACACAGCTGAGCTTAACCCAGAGATCTAATCAAGAAACATCTTCAAATTTGTCAGAGCAACTGTTGTTATTTTTTTCGTGGTGAGAATATAATTGTGTATACATCATATTCCTCTTTTTTTTTTCTTATCTTACAACCTATTCTTACAGAACAAATGCCACAAATACACTGTAGCACATAATACAAATGAGCTGATTCTTTCACTAGGCATGAAAATATTTTTATTTTCCCAGTTACTGTCTTCACAAACATAGGAGCACTGACCATTTTAATTTCCAGCTTAATAGAATACTTCAGCACTATCTAATTGATGGTATTCATATTGGTGTTTTTCAGGACTTGGGATTTCCTTTTCATGGACACCAGCCATCAGCATTGTTAGCCATTATTTTTCCAAGAGAAGAGCTCTGGCCAATGCTATTGCCAGTGCTGGAGAATGTGTGTTTGCATTTACATTTGGGCCATTTTTCCAGTGGCTGATTGGTCAATATGGATGGAAAGGTGCCCTCTTGATCATAGGTGGCACCCAACTCAACATCTGTGTCTGTGGAATACTGATGCGACCCCTGACAAGCAGCTACCACCCTGAGGTGAGCCATCCTGAACCACCACCTGGCAGTGGTGCATCTAAGACAGACAAAGAAGGGAAGTCTACCATCACACACAGAACCTTCAACTGGATGCTTTTGAGGAGAGCAGAATTTGTGCTTTATGCCATGTTTGGCATACTAGCTGCAATGAGTTTCTTTGTTCCTCCGTTATTTTTAGTTCCACTTAGCTACAGCCTGGGAATAGATGAATCTTGGACTGCATCTCTCCTATCCATTCTGGCTATGGTGGATTTTGCAGGTAGACTGCTATGTGGCTGGTATGCCAATCTCCACCTTACGAAAACTATTCACTTACTGACAATGACAATTACCTTGATCAGTACTTCCTTGATGCTTCTGCCACTGGCTAACAACTACCTGTCCTTGGCAATATTCACTGGCTTCTATGGATTCTTCTTTGGCACAACAGTTGCTGTTCACATTACAGTGCTAGCAGAAGTTGTGGGCATGTCAGATTTCGACAGTGCTTTAGGGCTTTTCATGCTTATTCGAAGCATCGGAGGATTTTTGGGGCCTCCTCTTGCTGGTAAGTTTATACTCTGCTAAATACAGTTTACAAGACTAATGAGGAATGGTCACCCAAACTGAAATATTTAGAGCTGGAGCCAGATTTCTTTTTCTGTTAGCTCAGGAGTGTCTGGACAAACAAGCAAATAATGAAAATATATATTTGGAACAAGCAGCAGATCCATACTTTCATAGAAAAAGCAGCTGAGTTCTTGGAATTTGAAAATAATCATTCTGCAGAAATGTTGCTATTATTGGGAAGGTTTCTAGAGAAGGTCACACTTAATGGCTTGAAATGTTAAGCTGTGTGTACCTGAAGGAAATATTCAGAGATGCCTGCTGTTTTCAGACAGCATTTCAGCTGAACAGTGTAATATATGGGGAGTTAGTATAAAAAAGCAGTGGAAAGGGAAAGCAGACAATGAGGCTGCATATGGTTTTGATTTGTTAGCAGCAATACAGTGTTCATCTTGGAAAATGCAAGAGAAACTAGCTGCTGGCTGTAGGAAATTTACTAAGTGGTATGGTAGAAAAATGATCAATGTAACATGTGAAGAATGAATCTGAGTCTTCATCCAAAGTGCACTGAATAAAATCAGAGACCTCACAGACTACTGTGATTTCTGTGGCAATGAACCATACAATATGATACAAATGGGTCAAACTGAATACTGTAGTAGTTTAACTCAATTTGAAAGCACAGGGGCTAGGAAGTTTTATAGAGAATTTGAAAGAGAGTGGTATCAGCAGACGAAATATGCAATGGTCCTGCTACTGGATGGAGGCTGAACAAAGAAGCAGCCGTCCCCAGGCCGTAGGTGAACCTGTAGCTGGGTACACCGAGCAGCCAGTGCTACCACGTGCATTGCTACAGCACTACTGCTGTACTTCTGTTTCTTCAGTACAGTGCAGGATGTCTCAAGTGTGCTATGTGGATAAAAGCTATGTAAAAACTGAGGTCTTTTCTTTCATTTTTTGACAAAGGATTAATAGCGAAGCCATTAACACCGTAGGTGACTCACCAAAGTCTGTCGCCACCAGAGGGCCTCTTCTTTCCTTTTTTTAAACTCTCATGCTCGCAGCTGTTTTCCAACTTACAGCAACTGTTGAATGTGAAGATTCTAAGAAACAAAGCTGCATGATTAATTATTTTTCCGCCATTGTTTTTATTGCCCGATTAATTTTGAGTTGGAAATTATTTCCAACGAAGTAGCACTTTGTTTTACAATTTGTGTCTGCAAGGTAGATGAATTTTGTGTGAAATTTTCAAGTGCAATAATGTGGCGATGCTTTATGCTTTCATAGTGTAGAAAGCTGCAAGAAAAGTATGTAGTCAGCGTAGTCTCTTTATGAGAGGATGCGTTCACACCAATGAGCTAATTCACACTGGCCGGTTTTCTGTCAGCCACATTACTGTCTTTTTTTTTTCTATCCAGGTCTGATTGTGGACATGGCTGGAGACTACAGAGCAGGCTTCTACATGGCAGGAGCCACTCTCATCCTAGCAGCTGTATTTTTAGTTGTTTTAGATCAATTTCAACAAAGAAGTGAAAAAGGAAACCATACCGGTACTAAATCAGAAAAATCATCATTACCTTACACTTCCTTCCATTTTCTGAAACTTCAGAAAAGAAGGTACCAAGACCATAATGTAGCAGTGTGACTACAGTGGACATCATGCAACTTAGAGTTAAGGAAGTGCTTTGTTTTCTTGACAGTCAATATCAGTAGGATTTTTTTTTTAATGATGAGTGTTTTGAGTAGGAGTGTTTAAAACAGAGGAAGAAAGTCATTAGTTCACAAGCAAACAATACCTATAACCACTGCCACAATGTTATTTTGATGTTGCAGTAGCATCTTGCCTTTACAAGCCCCACAAGGCTGTGACAGAGAGGCTATGATCTAAACAGAATTACTACGAAGCATTATGCAGAGGCAGAAACCTTCCCCTCGAAATACAGACCACAGCCATCACTTTCAAATAGAAAAAGACACCAGCTCACAGATGTTGAGCCTGGAGAAGCAGTATTCAAAATGATCACTGAACAGACTGGATATAAAATCAAGAATACATGAATTTAGCTTTGAGATAATAGTTTACACTTACTCTACAGAGCAGGTCTGGAATCCAAACAAACCTCGTAAATGGAGAAAATTACATCAATTATATAATTCAGCAAAGAGAAATGTAGTCCTAAGTATCTGAAGCACTAAGAAAAGTGCACTTACATAAAATGGAGAAGGACTGACAATTAACAGTAGAAGACAAAGTTATGGTGGACTTCAAACAAAATAAGACTCTCAAATGTAACAGTATATTAAAACTAATAAATATTTCTTTGTGCAGTAGTATGATAACTGAGAGAACAATGCTTGCAAGGCTTTAACTAGAAGGGGTGCATAAAATGCAGAGGTTGAAGTGTAACAAGAATGATAAGTGTTAAAAATAAAATGCTAGAAGAAAAAGTCTGTCCAGTTTAGAAAACAAAATGTTATACTGAAAATGAAAACAGTCTTCAAATCTGTAATGGGTTGAGATAAAGCAGGCACTATTATTTCCTTTTCTTGTACAGTTAGATATTGATATAATTTCTAACTGTAGGGGAGGTTTAGGTTAGATATTGGGAGGAAGTTTTTCACACACAGGGTGGTGAAGCACTGGAACAGGCTGCCCAAGGAGATTGTGGATGCCCCATTCCTGAAGGCATTCAAGGCCAGGCTGGATGTGGCTCTGGGCAGTGTGCTGTGGTGGTTGGTTACCCTGCACATGTTGAAACCAGGTGATCATATGGTCCTCTTCAGCACAGGCCATTTTATGATTATATGATATGATTCTATAATTTACAGCAAGGCAGAGATATCTCATGGGAAAAAGACTTTCAAATTCTAGACAGCTAATCATAGAAATAGACCATAGGAGGCTACAGAAACAGAGAGATACCAGAGAATAGATGAGACTTAAATAAATATAAATATACTCAGTTCTACCTCTGAATTGTTCAGTTTTATCTTTCACTTATCCTAAGGCTCTTGAAGAAAGAAAACAGTTGATTTATTAGATTAAGAAGAATCTGTACCTAAATCACAATTTTTTTAGTTTTATTTTATCTGGGAAAGAGAAGAAAAGAGAGGAAGGACTGGATCACATTAAGAAGAAGAAAAAAAACAGTAAGAAAGGAAAAAATATAGGACTTAGAAACTTTCAAGCTACTCTACATTTATAGTTGCCTCATTTATGAACTTCAGAATGTTTTTCCAGTCAAACATTTTATGTCTGTGTTTAACATCAGTTGCTCATCTAAAATATTTATTTCCTGTCCCATGAAGATCAACTCAAAATTTTAATTTAATTTACAGGAAATTAACTCAGCTACTCATAAACCAACTATCTACAAGGGCTTGATTGAGCCTACAGTGGAAGGGACACAATCTGCAGTGTGAGGTCTGTAGCAAGGAATAGGAATTTCTGGAAAAAATAACGTGTCAATTATGTCAGCTGTGCCAATTTAAAACTTAGATTTCTATAGGAAGAATTATTTTTTTTGTCACTGCAGTATTCTGATATTCAAAAGAACCCTTCATTTTTCTTTTTATTTCTTTTCATTTGAAACACAGGGGAATATTAAATGTGAACACACATTTAATATAGGACATTACCTTTCTATTATAATTCAGTATTTTCTATTAAACTTGTGTATTTTAATTACGGTCCCTGTCACTGATTTCCATGTTTGGGTGCATCCTGAGATCTGCCAGTGGCACTGCAGAGGGCTGGTAGCTTCCTGGACTCTGGGCACAGTGGCCATCAGATGAATATGCACCACTCAGCACTGGTGCACCCATTTTGGAGGCACCCAGTACTGCACAGAAATGGACAAGCATGACTGAGTTCAGCCTGGGGCTACAGGGGGGCTGTGGGATACTTCAGGTGTGGAGTGGGGCGGCTGAGGGTTCTGCACTGGGTCCATGGTGGGAGGGCAAGAAGAATGAGCTGAGTGACGTGCTCAAGCTGGAGGTGAGAAGAAGATTCTTCCCACCAGGAATGCTGGGCCATGGAACCAGGGCCCAGGCAGTTTGAGCTGGTTTTAGCCTGAGGACCCTCTTGCTCCAGCACTGTGAGGCCCTGAGCAGTCCGGCCTGACTGTGGAGAGTCCTGCTCCAGGTGGGGCGGGGCTGGAGACCTCCATGCAGGCTCAGCAGGAGCAGCAGGGCTCTGTGATACTGCGAAGGGAGAAATGAAATCATCCTAGAATGATGGAATCAAACTTATCAACAGAACAAAAAAAGAAGTCATTCTTTTTAGAGGTCAGGCAAGTTATTTTCAGTTAGACCAGAGCATTCATTTCATACCTATCATAAAGATTCATCGGAGTGTCCTCCGTTGTCAACAGGCTGCTGGCTAAGAGAAATGGCCAGGCTTGCATGGGGCTTCCTCTTACATCATATTCTCCTGAATTAAAAAGGTAATACTTGTAGAATTCACATATAAATTCCTTTGACTTTACACTCACAGAGTTAGCAATGCCACTTCAGAGAAACAGGGTTTAGTAAAAGAACTGAGATCGGAACCAGGACATGGTGCTTCACCTTCCCATCAACCAATTCTTCAATAGCAGCACTGTGTATTTAGATAACAGACGGCACCACTGGTCTATGACAAAGTTTTTCTCCACATCCCTTTGTTATACTGTTAACAAGAAATTCTTTCAGAACACAAACTATTCCATTAACTGACATTTCCTCCTCAGCACTGCTTGAGGCAAGGAAGGGGCAGAGACGCGCTGGTTCTGGTATCACATGGATTTTCAGTATGTATCAGCTTCAGCTCTGAAAGAACAAACAGTAGTCTTCAGTTAGCATTCCCTCACAGAACTTAAAGCTTTTTTTCAGGAAAACACATGGCTCAATAAGGTACTCTGTGACATTTTCAATGTATTACAGAAGGGCTGGCATGCTTCTTCAGGAATTTACTGGACTGTGATAATGTACACTTACTGTTTTACACTCATGAGTATCTACAGCAAGTTTCTCTATATCTGATTCACCTTTAAACTCCCATTAGATTCATCTGGGACTATGTAAAAGAAACACTGAATAATTTACCTAAATAGGAAAAATTGTGCTGTTGTTTCTCTTCTTCCCTTCACTTTATTTACTCTAGAAAAAAGGTCATTTTGACTTTGGTCTTAAGTTGTCAAGCAAAAAAAATCAGAGTAACAAAATGGCTGATGTTGGCAGGGACATCTGAGTCCATCTGGTCCCTGCTCAAGCAGGGACGCCCAGAGCAGGGTGCCCCAGACCATGTCCAGACAGCTTTTGAAGATCTCCCAGGAGGAGACTCCACGGCCCCCGAGCAGCCTGTGCCAGCTCCAGCACCTGCACAACACAGAAGCCTGCCTGGCATTCAGAGGGAGGCTCCTGCATTCCAGTTGGTGCCCACTGCCTCTTGTCCTGGCACTGGGCACTGCTGGGGAGAGCTGTCCAAACAAAGATTGTGTTGAGGCAAGGTAAGATTTTTAACGTTGTTGGAAAAAGCTGCTGTAAACAGATGAAATGGCCTAGCTCTGCCCAGCCCTGAGCTTACTAGAAATATTGATATTAAGACTTTTCAACCGATTTTCTGAAGAAATAGATGTAGACCTCTCACACAATCACATTTTTTCTACTCATTTCTGAAAATAGCCACTTCTCAACCAAATCTGGAGCCAGTGTCGCAGCCTCAAATGTAACCAAAACATTCCAAACTTAAACAGAAAGTCTTTTGCAGGATAGAGAGGCCCAAATGATTCACTGAGAGAAATGTCAAACAGAACATGGTCCTTCATGGCTTTTGTATCTTTTTTTCCTTTGTCAGTAACTAACACTTCTGACCCACCACAGAACCTAGAGCTCTGGATTCATTACAGGCTGCTGTTTCTTGCCTGATGTTGTGAATGCAATTATTACAGCTTGTGTGTATGTGAGCACAATGACAACTCACACAAATCCACTGGGAACTGGGCTTCATTAGTTCTGCAGCACACAGAACAGTCTGTTTGTTGCAGCATCTGCTAGCCAGTTCAGAATCAAACCACTTGCTATAATCTAAGACGCTTCCATCACTGAGTAACAGCATCATCTTTAAGTTTTGCTCCAACAGTCTTGGCCTCTACATGGTGTTACAATCACGCAAAAAACGTGGATAAGCAAAGCTTCAGTTAAATGAGTCCCAAAACTCTGTTTATGTCAGACCTGAGCCACAGAACAACTAGCCCCAAATCAAAACATGCTTTTGTTTATTATCAGGCTGCCCACTTCAGGAGTTCATACTGATGGGCAGGCAAGTGGTGCTGAGCCCCTTCTAGCAAGGTAGGTAATCTCATGAAGAAATAACTGATTTCTGAGGTGATTATTAGGAGAGAAGGATGCAGGCTGTGAGAAGAAAGTTGTCTCCTGACCCCTTTCATGCTAATTAATGCATTCAGAAGCTGTACTGAAAGGAATTTAAACTCGTGATAGTCATAAGAGAACAGATCAAAGAAGGAAAAAAAACAGAGTGAGTCAAGGAAAGGAAAGCTGTACATGCCTTTAGTTTACAGAGTACCGGTCCAAAGAAGGTAAGGCTTGCATTTTTTTTATTCTACCTAAACCCAAACTATTCTATGTTGCTTAAAAATTATGCTTTAGTGGAGACTTAACAGATTCCTAGTGAAAGTCTGAAAATGCTTTGATTCCTTGGATAGAAAGTTGCTTTGGCAAATTCACTGTTTTTTACACTCACTTTACCCCAGTCTGAGATAGTAGATGAGTTATCAAACTCATCATTTGATGCTATCAAATAGAATCTGTTGACCTGCTTACATGATAGAGACACGATTACTTGTGGATTCTTCCTCCGTAATGTTCAGACTATTTTTACTTGGATGATTATTCTCTTAAGACTAAGAATTAGGATTATAACTTCTCTGTGCTTTTTGGCTAACATAAGTTAGAAACCATCTGAAAACCAACATGTCTGTGGCAGTTTGTGCTGACTGATCTTTTGAACTCTTACAGGGTGTAACAGGAATATAGAAACACATGTGTGTGTGCATAATATTATTTTTCTTGCTTTCAAATATTTTTCCTTGTCCAGGCAAATTGTCTTTTTTTTTTTTTTTTTTTTTTTTTTTTTTTCTATATTCCTGTGAGATTTTTCTTCACAAATCAGTCACTGCTCAGTGCCTGAAGTGACCATGTTAAATCACAGTCTGCTGCACTCACGTGGAACTGCTCATAGTTTCGAGTTTTGCATTATTGAGTTTTTAAATTGGAACACTCTGCTTAATTCTGGGAATAGTATGTTGTCCTACCTCTCTATTATGCCCCCATTGAAACAAAAATCTGAAAGTATTTATCAACACATACAGATATTTCTACTGTGTTCTAATATGCGGTTTTGAACAGGGGTAGGATCTCAAAATGCCCAGAGGAAGCCACCATCAAGATGGAAACTTCTTTAGAGGAAGAGGACGGACTTATTTCACAGCAGAAGAGTAAGCATAAAGCAAACCCTATCTTAGCATGTTTGTAGAAAAAAAACTTACACTGAAAAGAAATTTCCAGAATAGTACAAAAATAAAAATCAGGGCTGTACAGAGAAGAAATGTGTTTTGGTCATTTTGTGGTTCTTTGAAACGTTTGTCATGGAATTTTCTAAAAGAGCAGTCAATAGTTAAGAATAATCAGAACTGCAGAATTCAAGAATCTAGAGCTTGATCTGACACTCACAAGTGATATTAACCTTTATGATAACATTACCAGGGTTGTTGAGGCTCATTTGGAATTACATATTGGAGGTTGTAATAGTGCAATCTTTCAGTAAGATTTATGTCCCCTTAAAACCTCAAAGATACAATGCTTCACTCTAAAGAATACCCTAAAGAACAATATCAGTGGAAACCCCAGGTAAATGGAAAATACCTCCTAAAAGCAGATGGAGATGTCAGTGCGCATGACGTGACTCTCATGACACTCTCCTTAAATCATTTTTGATTAGTACCATTAAGTATCACATATCCAGAGTCCTCAGGTCACAAGAAAGAGTGCTCCATGAAGCACCGAATCATAGAAAATGAGAGCAAGTAAATGCTAAAGGTCTCCCCTCTCCTCTGTCCAGTGGGAAAACCTGAGGGTTTACTTTGGAGCAACTCGGTACCCGACACACAGCTGTGTGCTGGGACAGATTTATCCTGACTCATATCATCTTTTGTTCTTTTTTTTTCCTGCCAACTTATCCCTCTGAGCTTTCCCAGACTCTTCTGTTCTTAAATGCTCAAAGATCACAGAAATGAGTGAATGCTCAGTGCTTTAACGAGAGCACATTAGCATGGGAAGTTTTTTAAGACTAAGAAGCTACAATAACTCTGTCATTTTGCTTTTTAATATCCTAAGCAGTGGGAAAGATGTCCTACAGCACAGTGTGCAGAACCTATATTCCCTAAAATGACCCAGTGACATCAACTCTGTACTTGCTGTGTCATAGAACAAGAACTAAATAATTACAGAGCTGTTTATGAAAAAAAAAAAATATTGAAGTTTCTTACTAGGTTTTTGAAACTGTGTAGTGTTTTATGAATAATTAAAAAAAATTATATCGCCAGAATTTATTGCAATACAATGCAGCTGGGATACATTTCTCAATTCTTACTGCCTGGAAAAACTTAACAAACATGAGATGCCTCAGCAGGCTTGGCACCTATTTTATTTCTCGTTCCCTTCCAAAGTCATAATGCTGTTTGCTGAATTTACACATAAGGACATTTTAGAAGCATGGGTTGTTTGTAGATTATTATCTTCAGAGCTACAAATATTCTTATTCTTAGAATGTTTTACATCTGGACAGAAAATTTATCTAGCAGCTTAATCAGAGCTTAATCAGAGACTGGATTAAATTACTGATACTTTATTTTCTGCTTCATCCTTCTCTCTGGTAAAGGGATAGGGATATAAGCTCCTGATCTAATCATTCTTGCTCCCAGAAGAATGCACCCAGTTCTACTGTTACTTATTTTTTCTTGTGTCCCACACAGAGCTCTGGGGATTGGGATCTTCATTTTGGTGCTGGCCATGTTGCTTCTCTTTGGATGCTGGTTTTACAAAAGGCGTAGTGGCTATAAAAGACTGCGGGTAAGCATGGCAGCTCACTTTCACAAATACTGTTATTCTGACAACATACCATTATTATTTGCATTTCATTAATGCTGAGAACACTACAGCTACCATTAGATGTCCTCAGACATATTAACAGGTGAAAACACAGAACATGAAATGCAGTAGAACTTGCAAGTGGATCAGAGGAAACATAAGCATAAGGAAGTGGAGACAATTGCTCAACTTTTTACAACATGACAACAGAAAAATCTAATCTCTAGGAAGCATATTTAAATCTACACATATTCTGTCAATCTTCATTTGAATAAAACAACATTTTCACCACTCAAAAGATTTACATCTAAGAACAGATACAATTGGATTAAGTCTTGGAAGCAAAGAAAAATGGCTGTTACAATTAATTTAGTAAACGTGACCCTCGTGCTAGTGATACAGAATACTTTTTTTATAAAAGTTAAATATGATTTGCAAAAAAAGCAAGACAGATTTTGAGATTTACTTTCTAAAAACTACTTCTTAAAAATGCTATTTCTTGCCTTCTTCAAAAAAGTTTGAAAAATCAAATTAGATCTGTCCCACAACTTTCAGTGTTGGAACATTCAGATCTTCATCTTTGGCACTGAAGAGCATTCTTGCTGTGAAATGGAGGCAGTTTTTAACCATGCAAAGTGAGGGTTTTGTGGAAACCTATTTTCCCAGTGTAGTTTTCCTAACATTTCTAAAAAGATGTGACTGTTTTGAATTAAAAACCGTAACTCACCACCAAATCCTTTTCCTCGCTCTTCTGATAATTGGCCTGCTACCTTCCCACTGACAGATCCAATACATATACAGCATCACAGAACACACAAAACTCAAACTTTCATACAAACCAGAGATCTTTAATGCTTTCTTTGTACATCACAAGACACTTCCTTTTCAATTCCATCTAACAGCAGGCATTTTGTGGTTTTGAAAACCTCACAATTTGTTAGGCTTTTTGGAAGGGAGAGAACAAGAACTGAATGTACAAAAAGAAGTGGGAAATGGTAAAGAAAGGAGTTTGAGATTAAGAAAAGGAATGGGTAAAGGAGGTGGCCCCATATAGTTAAGAAGGTGTCCAAGAAATAACTGCGGGCCAGAAAAAAACAGGCAGTCCGCACTTTTGCTGAAAACATAATGTATGATACAGGAGGGAGAGCATGCTTCAGGAGAGACAGCAAAAAGCAATGGGTAGATTGCTCTTCTTAGTTACTGCTGTTTTGTCCAGTCCTAATCCCAGATCCTAACAAATACTGCATAAATACTATGTCATACATATATGTAGTGCACCCCAGATTTATGGTCGGTTTTTCTTTGAATTTCTTCATATTTTTTTATGATCTCTCACAGAGCAAAGACGTCAGTATGGGCACCATACGAACTGTGATAGGTGAGGGAGCAACACCAGACTGCAAAACAGCTCTGCAAGAATACAGGAACTTTAATTCTGTGGTAAGTTAAAGCTTGAGCTTCATTTACTTTAAACACAGTAAGACATGACGAGATAATCTTGGTAAATATTCACTTGATGGTGTCTTTCTTGGTTCGTGCTCTCTAGGCTGGGTCTGCAATAACTCTAACTTTTAAAAATAGTTTTGCACATTTTTAACTGTGAGAAGGTGTTGGGTTTTCTTTTTTTTTTTTTTTTTTAATTATTAAATATAACCACTAATACTTCTAAAAAACACCTGTATTTTCACTCACCTTTATTCTGAAATTGTATCATCATTATTCATGAGGCAATATATGAATATGAATGCTGAAATATACGCAGCTCCAATAGATACCCTACCATTCTTGTAGACAACAAACAGATTATGTCCGGTAGCACCACAAAACTTCAGGTTTGTAGCCTTTCTAAACACTATGGAAAGCTGAGCATTCATGTTCATAATTATTTTAAAAAGTTAAAGTAACTTGCTTGATAAGTATATAGATCAAGATACAGTTGTGTATAAACAGTCTCATAATAGGAAAAAGGGTAACTTACAACCAATTGTCAATAAGATACATAATTGTTATCGCTGGAAATATGCATTCATCAAGACTCCTGAAGTTGTAGATGAAGTTGAAATGTCAAAATCTCTTTTGTTGAAAATTGCTGTAAAATGAATTATACATACATACACATACATACAAATTAATCTAATGCAAGACCTGGAAACACGTTAAGAAAAATGAAAACAATGTAAAGACACTACGAATCAGCTCAGCTATTTTAAGCTACATCTGATATGAAAGCAGATATCTCCTTGCATGTTTCATGTCATTTTATGGCATCTCAATTGTCTTTTCAGTCTTTCACACCAATTTTCTTACCACAGGTACCCGATGCTCCACCAGCCTATGACAAAATTGCTGCAGAGCAGTCACCACCTCCTTATTCACCATGATAGCAATAAGTCTTTAACTCTGAGCACATCCATTCAATTTCTTCATGCTCCCTCTTTATTTCCTATACATTCTTAACTTTCTGAAAGCTAAAACTGCAATAAAAATTCACATGCTTTCATAAGCAATTGCTGAAAATTACTCTTGCTCAATTTAAAGTAGTTCATGAAACACTTTAATAAAGCTGACTGTGCTTCTGTTTTATGTTTTTCATTTCTTGTTTTCAGATTAATACATTTTGCTCGGGTTTTGGCTTCTTGCATTCTTCACAGAAATACCAGTATTAAGAACACATCACTGGGTATCAACTAGATTGAGAAGTGTAGGCAACTGCATATTCATCTTCCACATTTTCTCTCCCTTTATTAAAAAAAAAAAGAGAGAGAGAGAGAGAGAAAGAGACAATCTATTCCATAAAATGCAATGTACAAGAATCTGTTATAATGTGGGCAGAAATATTTGATTACATGTGCTGATATGAAGAAAAACCATTTTCCCCGCCACCCTAAAAATTAACCTGCACAAGGAGACTGTATCTTACAGCAGTCACATACCTCACAGCACTTGTTTATCTATCTGTAATTAACCAATTCCTTGTGAAATATCGAAGTTTGATCCATGTAACTTAAGAATTTCTGCTTATAATCTCTGTTCTTTCATACTTGTCACTGCATATAACAGCAATCATATTTCATGACCTATTGGTAAGAAAGGAGAGCAGTCACAGAAAACAAAGAACTGCAATACATCTAAATTAAGGTATACTCATTAGGCAGATACTTGTTCAAGGATATTGTGAATTCTGTGAAAGTTTAAAATTATTTATAATGATTTGGTATATGTATTTAGAAATTTAGAGAAGCACTTAAACTCAAAACATTGTCTTGAAGTTGTCATTTTCAGCATACTCCCTGAGCAGCCTGGTCTAGTATTAAATGGGGAGGCTGGAGGCCCTGCATGAGGCAGGGGGTTGGAGATTCATGATCCTTCATGCCCCTTCCAACCCTGGTCCTCCTGTGATTCTGTGAGGGAAAAAATTCTGTAGACTTTCTTAATGACAGGAAGAAGAATGCACAGGAAAACATGTCAAATGCCAGCTTAGAGCTGATAGGCACCAGACATGTAGAACAGAATGTGCTCCCTACATTTTTTGCAGAACTAGCCAGCTTGATGCTGATGGTTTTCAGCGGCTCTGTACTCTGCTGTTGTCTATTCTGAGGACAACTTCCTACCAAACACAGCACTAGAAAGTCCAATCTGAGAGAAGGTTTGGATAAACACAATGAACTACTTCTCCAACTGCACAATTATAGTTCTTCAATAAATTTTGTCCCTGTGTGCTTCACTCTTGGGCCAATGCAAAAGACGCTGGAGCAGCAGTTTTCCCAGAGAATATGAGGGACAGGCAAGGCTGAACACTCTCTCAAATTCCCTCATCAAAAGGCAGCTATAGATTACTGACCCCTGTTTCACCAGAGAAAAAGGACAGAACATAGAATCCAATTCAGCTGCACATCTTAAACATCTAAGCTACAAGATACAGTTACTGCCTTCTCCTGTTCCTCAGTTCCTCCACAAAGTTCTTGCTTGCTGATAGTGCTGCACTCCACTTTTGCTGGGCTCACAGGGCCTAAGCACTGCAGCAGTGCTTGAGCTGATGTCCTTCCACTTTTCCAAATAATTTTATTGCTATGGCACCAATTACATGCTTGGACCACATGCTTTTTTTGTACTTTCCCTGTATGAGAAAGTACAGATCAGAACAGGACCAAAAGTGGTGGTCTAATATGAATAATTCAGTCTTTCACTACTGATTTTGTCAGGACTTTTCAACTCAGCTCACTCTCATTTCTGGATGGAAGGAACAGACTCCTGTGCTGCACATTGCATTCACTGTCTTCTCCACTTATACAGAAAATCAGCCTTCCTCCTCCTCGTTCGTATCTGAATTATCCTTGTTATCATTATCTTCATTCTTGCAGCTATTTGGGAAAAGAACAGACTCATACTTTCTGGAGAGTTTTTTCTAAGAAAAAGGTTTGATCTTTCAACATCTGCCAGTTCACCCTTTACCAATTACCTTGTTAGAGGCAATTTATTTCTTTTTCTGTGCCATCACTTATGCCCCAAGTAACTCTTTACTGACGCTCACGAAAAAAACAGCCCCCATTTTAGATAAAGAATCTCAGCCAGTTTTCAGACCATCTCACTGTCTTCTCATCCAGCCTCATCTTCTCTATGAGAGTGTTATGGAGGACAGCGTCAAAGGCCTCACTGAAGTCCAGGCTAACACTGCTCAGTGCTAGATCTACTGTCCTCCGTTATTTGCAGTAGGAATTTTAGACTTGTTGTTTGTCTGTTAACTGTGCTTTCAAAACTTTTGAATCTCTTCAGAGATTCAAAACAACAGAATCATATGGCATGCGTGAATACTTTTGAACATTAAACTCCTGTAAAGGCATCCTAGCAAAGGCTGAAAGATGCCCCATTTGTGCCTTGTAGTATGTTACTCCTACGTCAGTATCTCTGAAAACCACTTCCTGAACTTTTCTGGAGTCAGTGCAGATTTAAAATTGTGGTTCTTACAACCTTGGTACACCACTGCATATGCTGTCCATGTACTCTGCAAATACTGTGTTTGGCCTCACCAACAGGAAGGATCACAACAGTGTCTCATGGTCAAATCCTTGTTTAAAACTTGAGTTTTTTTTAGCAGTCATTCATATACCTTTCTCATCATTTCTGTAGATGAAAGAACAGTTTCAGCTTTTATGCCCACAGTTATTTCTGCTCTGCTTCTCCAGGTTACTGCTCAGCTTTTTTCCTAGCCCCTGATTTCCTGGCTGAGTTCTCCCAACTCTCCTGGAAATTAACTCTTCTTTCCACCACCGTTCTCTACTGGTCACCACAGTGAAGATGCTAAAACCAACACTAGCAAGGACTGCAGAGAGAGGAGTGACAGACTCGCATTGGTTTCAATAATCTCCTTTAAAGGTCATGTCTTTAAAATCATATTTTTGAGTACATACAGTTTTAGGAGAAGTTGTATCTTTTTTTTTGTGGTGAAATAAGTTTGCTTTATAGTTGATAATCCTGTGAAAAGATTTGTACAGAATAGTCATAGTGCTCCTTTGTCTTTAGAACTGTGAATTCTGTTCCCACATCTCAAGGATATAGTAAAATTGAAAATGACAGCAATGACAGTAACAGATCACTCCCATGAGGGAAATAACTGAACTGACCATGTCTCTTAATTCTAAAAAAGAGACAACCAACATGGCAAAGGTCCACATCAGCTGCATGGAGAAATGAATACAGAATTGCACTATTAATACTATGAGTATGAAAATTGCAATTATCATGTTCAGAAAAAATGTGATAAAACGCATATTATGTGAAAAACTCTTCATCACAGGATGCTGGGGATGGTAACACTTCACATGCATTTAAGAGGTACTCTGGAAAGGGTTGATCAATTTCATCATCACAAGCACTTTAATGTCTCTTAAATAAATACAAAATAACTAACAATACAAAACCCTAAGACAAAACAAACAAACAAACAAACAAAACCCATCCATAACCAAAACAAACAATTACAACAATAGTAAACTTGCTGAAGGAAATGCTGGTTCGCAGGATACTATAGGAGTTTCCAGAAATGTGTCACCAGTTGTTTTCCTTCTTACACACATTGAATCACTGCTGTGTACTGCTCCAAGGCACATGACACTAAAAAAGATGGGCCTTTACCTCGATCCAGCACTTACTATTTGGATCCAGCAGTCTTACTGGGAGTCACAAAACCACCTGTTTGCTTAGGGTGACTAGCCGCTATGTTTCAATAAAGAACAACAAAATATTCACAACATAATAGGATAATCTCAGTTGGAAAAGACCATTCACTTCATCTTGCTAAGCTACCAACCTGACCTATGAAGTTGTATCACTAAACCACGTCCCTAAACACCACATCCACACGCCTCTTAAACACCTCCAGGGATGGCAACTTCACCACTTCCCTGGGTAGCCACTTCCAATGCCTTGCCAGCCTTTCTATGAAGAAATTCTTCCTGATGACCAATCTAAGCTTTCTCCTTGAGGCTATTCCCTTGCATCCTACAACAAGTAACCCGAGGAGAGATCGACACCCTCCTCACTGCAATCTCCTTTCAGGTAGCTGTAGGGAGTGATGAGCTGGTTTAAATGCAAGGCATTTTATAAGCTCTGAACATGTTTTCTTCACAGGTTGACTTGTACATAGCTTATTATGTCACATATATGATCACATTTCTTGAAAACTTCATTTAAAAAGGCTTTTACATTCCTCATCAAATATAATGTTTTGTTTTTTTCTTCAGTTTTTGTGCTCTTAGTAACATAAAGTATTTGGTGCAAAGAAGTGGTACATTCCAAACTTCCGATGGAAATTCACTTTGCTTTGAAAAAAAGCTTTCCTCTGACCAATATATCAGGGAAAGGTGATGGGAAGATGAATTCCTTTTTCAAAAATGAGTAAATTTTTTTTTTTTACAAAATAAAGAGTCATTCAAACTTATTACATATAGTATCCAGCCTTTCTCCAATAGTATTTGGGACCTGAATATGTGTGCAATAGAGCATAAAAGCTCATGAGAATTCCAAACAGACTGAAGCAAACTCTGCACAGGGTTATACTTGTCAAATTATAAAATATTTATAAAAAAACAGAAAAAAATCTAACAAATCATTTACGTAAATATCTTGAGTTCTGAGTTCCCCAATAAAGCTTTTTCTAATGCTTTTTTTGCTCTTCATTAGAATGAATAATATCATGTATACTTCTACAACATTGGCAAAGAAAGATGTCAGGCAAGATCTGTTTCTCCTACCAACTACTCTTTTGTGTTCTAAGTAACACAGATACTGATTCTAATGCAAAAATAAAAGGAAAACAAACATTCTAAGAGGGAAGAAAAATCCATGAAGGTTGGTCCCTTTCATCAGTGAAATGTCAATAGAATGTGTTGCTGGAATATATACTTTCATAGTACCTAAGGGGCCATCCTCTGCCACCTTCCTCTGCATAAAAAGAAGTCACCTATCACATTCGACTGCACAATGCAATTAGTTTAAAACAGCCTTAATACTGCGAAGTCCAGCATGCAGGCATCTTCTTCTAATAGGAATCTTCAAAAGAGATTACAGTA